ACCTTGTTGTTTACTCGGGTTATTGGGCCATTCGAGCACCCCAAGGCTGAAAGCATATCCATGTAGTCGCAAATCTTCAATCAAAGAACACAATCGTCTTTTTCTCCTTAAGTAAATATTCCCCGTTGAATTCTGATAGATGCCGTTTTTAGAACCGGAGGGAATTTCGATTGGACATATAGAATCGAAGATGAAAGAATGAAAATACGACAGCGGATATGAGTTGTGCGGAAGTGGAAAACGTTTTACCAGCCTTGCTATACAGGGTAATGATATGCATTTCTGTTAAAGAATATCCTTATGATTCATGCGAAATATGAAAAATCTATTAGCAGGTTTTTAGTGAATTACATCAGGTCGGACTTCCATTGACTGATATTATATAAAATGATTTGAAATCCCGGAAAGAAATAAAAAAGAATTGAAAAAATTAAAGAAGAAGATTATAAACGAATAGCTGAAAATAACAATTATATTAAGCAAAAAACCTGAAATGAAATAATAGTGAAATGAAATGCAACTAAAAAATGGAACAAATTGAACAAAAATATAGATACAAAACTTTTCCANATGTAGCATGAGATGTGTCATTGGTGTCCACGTCACCCAATTCAAGCTAAATCATCGCCGTTCACAGTGATGATCCGGCCAACGTCGATTCAAAGAAATATGGACCGATGACACCGCACCGCAGTTACTTTTTTGGGATGCATAGGACACTCTTTTGTATCTCATGTAGATTGGTTCGTCCCAAATTCGACAAGATTATTTTTCGATGAAAATCAGGGGCTGGTGCCAACTGCTCCAGAGCCCATTCAGCGAATACACGAGGTTGTCTACGGTCGTTTATCTTCAGTTCCTGGATTAGTTGAACTCTGTACGAGTGTAGGCCCAAGTCACGATGAAAATTTCGCCAATTTGTGGTCTGTGAAAGGCTGATTTCTTGTGAGCGACGAAACATCAACTGCCTCGGATTCTCCTGTACACTCTCAAAGACAGCAGCGATGTTTTCGGCAGACCTTGCTTTCCGTCGACGTATGGGTGTTGGTCTATAGTTTATTGAACCAGTGGACTCAAATTTATCCACTACATTGCGAATAGTTCTCTCGATAGGACGATTATGGCGACTGTAAAGTGGGCGAAGCGCATGGTACGTTTCCAGAACAGAACAGCTATTTTTATTGAAGAAGTTTATTATTTGCACGTGATGTTGAATGATATATCCGTCCATGGTGATTTGACAAAACAGACTGAATAAATGACAGCTTTAGCTCCAACAAGATGTCCGTTATCAATTGTCAAAGTTCGGAAATCTCTGTTGGAATAACTCATAAGAGAAGTCCACATCTAGAAACATTTCATCAAAACTCCTATCTTCGGTTCGTTTTTGATTGTTGACGTGAATCCAATTCCATCCGCAATGCCAGTTTTGCCTTCGAAAATTCGTGTTGTATAACAAACTTCACCTGGAAGCTCGACACAAGAGAATTCAAAACAACGTAAACCGCCTACGTCAAAGCCTACATAATGCATAATAATACGTATACTTTGTATCTACGCTGAGAGCATATAAGGGCCGTAAAACCGAACGAACATAAATTTCTGTTGGTATTGCGTTGCGGCAAGATTCGAATGTATGGAAGGGTATCAAGTAAATGGAAATAACTCTACAATGTTGAAGGTTACGACCCGGATATTATATGATTGTTTCCAACGCGTAATTTAATGAAATAACTTCGAAATGTTGGTCCGTTTCGAGGGTTGAATAAAGAAAATTGAGTTGACCATTGACAAACACAGTCATCTTTTGGTTCCGATGAATATGCTCATGTTTGATTTTGTTTCAATGGAGTTTAAAATCAATATTTTGTTCCATAAATCGGTGCATAGCGTTTAGAAATATGCAGAACCTGAAGAGTTCCAATAAAGGTTTCATGAATTCTAAAAATAATCGCTGCAAAACTCTGTTTTGGTGGCCTAAACTTTGATTTTTTTATCGGTTCATCAGTTAGAATGAAAGTATCAAAGGTAATACCTAGATATTTTAGCAGCACTGCAAATAGAATATCCTCTTTGCTCTGCTGACGCGAGCACACTTGTCACGTCATTCCATTTGGATTCCAAGACATAGGCTGGAGACACATCTTCACCGGCTGCAGGAGGTTGCAGATCTTAATGAGGATCAAGAGGTGACTTCAAATCGAAGTGAAAGTAACCAGGTTCAATTCAATGCCACAAAACTCAGGCATCGGTTTTCTTCAAAAAGATAAATGTCTCCGAACCGGATATAATTAAGTCAGGTCATGAATAATGCCGTCACCCTCCGTTGTCCTGGCTCGAAAGCCTTTCAACTGGACATCTTTCCTCTATCCAGCTCAGCCACTACCAGGGAAACCTTCTCTTCAGATTAACGGGGTAGAATTCCCAATTTTATCAAACCAAAAATATATAACATCAACATAACATTGCACTACAATGAACTTAAGAAAGATCATTCTGATAATAATATACATTTTATCAATAATACATGGATCGTTCCTCTTCATATTTACAATATTTACACCAGAAAGCAAACATTGTAGATCCTCAAGTCATTTCTTTATTGTATATGGATCAGCTCGAATTGGGAAGATCACCGCCTCTCCGGTATGTCAATGAGCTAACATTAACGGTAAGCTGACAGCCTGCTTTTCATCTGCTCCACTCATCTCGCACCACATTATCTGCCCGTTCATTCGCGATGCGTATCCATTCACTATTACTTCTGTTTCTATCCCTCAGTTGCATTCTACCCCTTTCTAGTTCCAGTCTTTCTTTCCATTCTCTCCAATCAACCTTGTCTCCATCCATGTATTTCTCAAGCACATGATCTGCCGTTTCAGGCTCTTCCCATCCACATGGGCAAGGCACCTCCTGTCCCAGGTTGAATCTAGCCAGGTAACCCGGAAAGTTGCCGTGACCTGTGAACAGTTGAACAACCTTCCTTGACAGACTCAGTGCTTCATACCCGACTGCTCTACTCAGGTCAGGTCAGACAATTCCGCTCTCTGCTTTGATAGGTTTGTTGGGGGTTGAAATAGACATCAATATGTCTTGGCACAACCATGTCGCTGGAATTGCAAATGCTTCTTCCCAAAAGCTTGAAACTCTGTTCCAAATCAGAAAACTGTACAAACCTCAGCCACTCTTTATGCGTCATAAAACTCATATCACACGTTCTTTGGAGTATTGTTCTCATGTATGGAGCTCCGCCCCCAAACATACTATGAAACTACTGAATTCCATCAAGAAAAGAGTCATCCGCCTGATTGGAGACGCGAACATCACTTGCAACCTTGATAGCCTGGAACATCGAAGAAAGGTTGGAGAGTTGTCTCTCTTCTAGAGATACTTTTACGGGAAGTGTTCAGGTGACTTGGCACATTTGATTCCACTAAGAGCGGTATACATCAGAGATACGCGACAGACTGTGACTGCTAATCGTTTTGAGATTAAACTAAGTACACCTCTAACTCCACTGTTTGAGAAATCTTTCAATTGGAGGATTACGTTTATGTGGAATAAACTTCCTGAGAATGTTTTTCCAAATGGATTAAATCTTCAGCGATTCAATTCCAACGTGAATCGCTATTTTCGCACAGGCTCTCATATCAAAATGCCTTAACCTTTCAGTACATGCGCCAAATTTTGGTACATAGTTACTCGCGCACGGTGGAGGAGACTGGTTTCAAAATTAGAATAAGATCTGTTATTTATATTTTAAGAATCTTTTTCATTAAAAAAAAATAACTTCATTAAAAAAAACTTTTACCAAAAAATATAAAGAAAAAGTCACTCTACTCTCATAAATATCAATAATTNGTTGGTTTGAGAAATTTCGTTCCGGAGATAATAGCCTCGAAGATGAGCCCCGATTTACAGTAATCGAGGATGAGGATTTGGGAACCCTGATGGATACTGACCCATCACCAACGGTGCGGATGGTGGAAGAACTGGGCGTCAGCTTTCAGGCGGATTTTGTTGGTTTGAAACGTATTGGAAAGGTCAAAGAGCTCGAAAAATGGGTGCTAGACCATTTGAAACGATCGACACAAAATGTCGCGGTTTTAGGTCTGTTATTCTTTGCTTTTGCGCAACCAAAACGGTTTTTTTTTTCGGTTTTTCCTATAGAAAACCATCTTCAATAAGTTGGAACGCTTTATTCAAAGTGTCAGTTGACCAGTAAACTTTTGTGGTAGTTCTAACTCGTACTTTCGACATCTAAAAGCAGAATAACAAAATTTTAGTATGCCTTCACATTGCGGGAAATCGTGATCACTATAGCGGAAAATGGCGGTCACCCAATCCTCATTACCCACAAGTATTTCATGAAAGAAAAATACAAAAAATATATAAGCAATACTCGGGATTTGAGTATGAAATCGTCACACTGAATGTACGAGTAAAAGCGTAAAAAAGTCACATGCTAGTAGATCAATAATTAGAATACTTAACATTTATTTTGCGTCCGTAAAAATTTACATCGGCGAGCCGTAAAAACAAAACACACCTGTCATTCCCCTACTGTCGCAATACTGGGGCGGCGCGCCCGCTAGCAAGGTGGCAGAGCTAGGCGGGGGCAGCAGTAAACGCGTTTCTAGCGGTTATAGTTTTGGAGATATGTTGGTTACTATCATTTCTCGCTGATTCCCATTACCCGGTCTTCCCCTATCATCAAGCGAATTGTTTTTGTTGTGTTGATCTACTTACCGGACAATTGCTGGAATTATTTCTCATCGTGAATGTTTTCTGACAGAACATTCATGAACATTGGAATTAAAGTGTTCATTGGCAAAATACTACAGTATATTTTGCACAACATGTTCTTGACATAACCTTTTGAATATGTACGTTGGATTTTTTTTCACCACCATCAAGTAGATTCATTTGTAATTTTTTTATTTCTCTTGATACGATCTCTTGAGCTGAATTCGATTTCAAAAATAATATTTTCGTTACAGATTTCAATCAAGATGGCAAGAAGGACAACATAACCTTCATGGTGAAAAGAATCAAGGTTCACACGATGGACGCCCTCAAAGACCCTCTCTACAGGTTCCCTAACAATTACGGAGTTGAGAAGTTCCTAGAACTGTTTTCAGGTGAGTGCTTCCTGTTTGTTTTCAGCCGAAGTTTCGAAAAGTTTTTGCCATTATCCGACCACATTTACAATTTTATGCGAGGAAGTGTGTTGACCTCGACGTCATTACGTGACGGAGTTCTTTAAAGAAGTTGCAGGAGTTCAGTTTGGCGACCTTCGAAGAGTTGCGTAAAGGTGATTCATGTTGAGTAAAAACTGCTGTGATAAACGGAGTTTGTGAATGTTTTGGAAGCTCACTCAGCAGCGGATTTAGTGAAGGAGTGCGTTGTCATTTCTTTAGATACATCACTAAAAGAATGTACTTCAGGAGAACAAGCAATGAGTTCTTCAAATGGTGTTTTTTTTCATTTTTTCGTCCGGTGGTTCAATTTTTGTTACAGTTTATATGCTCCATTATTTTTATTATCAAACCAAGTATTCGTGATTCCTCAAGAGTTTGAGGAGTGCCTAGAAGATGACAGTACGACAAGCTGTCGAAAGCGCTCGCAGATAATTGATAGAAGATATAAAGCTTCAAAATATATAAAATTTAAACTGAGAAATCAGTAAACAAAGAATTGAAATTGGTTTTTCACGAAGAGTGTATTTCATTTTTCGTAGTTTCTTTCCTGAAGTATAAATTCTTTCAATAATTTTTTGAATTTCACGATATTTTTACAGTTTTTATGTGATCAGGCAATTTATTGAAAGCAGAAAGAGAATCAGCATCGGGATGAAACAGATAATGTTCTGAGTGAAAGCTTTCTCTGCTGATTAACCCATTCATGTAGGTAATTACGCATTAGCCAGTAATGGCTATGATTATAGTAACATCAATATTTGCACCATTTATATTTGTATTTGTCAAACTTTATTGAATCACTACAATTATTTGTTCATTCCTTCATTTTGAAGAAATGAAAAAAATTCATTTTCAATAACGTAATACAAGAATCACATACAACTGAGCATAGTTTATTATCATTAATTTGAATGTCATTCATACAAATATGAATTATTTATAATTTGTATTCTACTCTATCCATTGGAAATAACGATCATTCAACGTGTTGTCTTCTTCAGTGAAATAGTTGAACCATAGTATCTCCATTCCTAAAATAACTAAACTAAGTAGTATCATGAGGAAATAGGAATAAAGTATTCCATCGACGTGTTCCATGTTGACGACGTTCCACGATTGGGTATTTATTTCCGAGGTGAAGGTTTTGATCCACTTATTTTCTAAACGGCTAAAGATTCCAGAACTCCTTAATCTACTCATACTGAAAAATAGAAACTTATAAATTATAAATTCGAACAAAAAACGATTGGTTGATGCATCTGTGCTGATTCCAAAAATACAAACATTTTCTTTGTATCAGCTATAGTTTTCGAGATATAACATACCGATCAAATACTCAAATATTCTTACATTTCTGTATATTCTACCACTATAATTGCAATACGTTTATAAACAAACTTAACAAATTCTAAGACAAATGCATACTAATGAATTCTAATTAAAGTGTACTTATTGGAAATGCCCATAACATGAAATTAGCGCTAATTGCTTCTTACCTACTGTCCGATAAGTAAATAGTATTTTCTTGGAAATGGCCTTAATAAATTCCTATAAAGTCGACTGCATTCCATTGTAAAATTTAGTCTGAACTTGAGTTTCGTTGCAAGAGTTTGTTTGTGACAACTGAAATCCATGGCTTCTACAAGCAGGCTTTGTTGTGTGAATAACCCAAACGTTTTTCGCTACATATGTGGCGAGTACTATGTGAAGGAAAGTAGAAAACCAGTTTGTGATTTCATAAAAAGGCCATATCAAGCCTATTTTGGTGTTCATTTAGGAGATCAAGATAAATCCAGGGCTCCACATGAAGTATGCAAAACTTTTCTTGAAAACTAGCGACAGTGGACAAAAGGACAACGAAACTGTTTGAAAGTTTGGTGTTCCAATGGTATGGAAGAAACCAAAAAATTATTTTGACGATTGCTATTTCTGTCTTGTGAATATAAAGGGCATTAATCGTAACAATCGACATACGTGGACATATCCTAACATGAATTCAGCAATAAGACCAATTCCACATCAGCTTGAGCAGATACCCATTCCAATATTTAGCAGCCTACCTACGTTACCAGAAGATAATGTCGAAACGTTATTTGACAAACTACAGGCTAATAGAGTTGAGGATGACGACAGTGATTTTGAAGGGGATTCAACACGTCCTGAGCGCTTTACTCAGGAAGAGCTAAGCGATCTTATTAGAGATTTGAACCTTCCAAAGGATTCTTCCGAGTTGCTTGCCTCCAGACTGAAGGAAAAGAAACTTCTTCACCCAGACTACCGTAATAGAGAAAAAGATCTTTTCCTTTTTTTTTCTCAGCAAGACTATATGGTTTTTTGTAACAATATCAAAGGACTGTTAGAAAAAATTGGTGTATCGGGGTATATACCGGATTACTGGCGTATTTTTATCGACAGTTCCAAACGAAGTTTGAAGTGTGTCCTTCTACATAATGGCAACAAATATTTAAGTATACCAACAAGGTGGCTATACAAAAATCCTTGTTTCCTATGTCTTTGGGATAGCAGGGCAAAGGACCAACACTGAAGTAGAAGAAAATGGCGTTCTAGAGATGCTTTAGTTCAAGGAGAAGCTAACGTAGTTAACGAAGCGTTAGTCTACCGAGAAAAAATAATATTACCCCCGTTACATATTAAACTAGGGCTGATGAAACAATTTGTAAAGGCCCTAGACCAGAATCGTCCTTGTTTTGAATACCTGTTCAGCAAATTCCTTGCACTTAGTAAAGAAAAATTGAAAACCAGAATATTTGATGGGCCTCAGATACGACGACAACTCATGAAAGATTCGCATTTCACAGAATCGATGACTAGAATTGAGTGTAATGCATGGTGCTCTTTTCTGAAAGTTGTGGAAAATTTTCTTGGAAACAATAAATCGGCAAATTTTGTGGAAGAAATGCTCAACAATTTTAAAAAGCACGGTTGTTATATGAGTATTAAAATTCATCACCTCCACAGCCACTTAGACCGTTTCCCAGAAAATCTTGGTGACCTTAGTGAGGAACAAGGGGAACGCTTCCACCATGATATCAAAACGATGGAAGAGAGGTATCAGGGGAGTTGGGACACTCACATGATGGCCGATTACTGCTGGAATCTTCAAAGGGTCCGTCCTTTTAAAGCATTTGCAAGAAAATCATATAAAAGGAAGTTTTTAGGTGACGCCGAATAACAGATTTGTGCTGCGATGCTGGTTAGTTTACATGAAAAGTTAATTTTTTGGCAGAGATGTGTGATGATTTTTGTAAGTATATTGTTTTACAATAAATATCTCACTTTTCATTCGTGTTTCGTTTATTTGATGGGTAGCGGCACTACATATATGTAGGTAATGCTGCGTTAAATTACCCTATATGTTAGAAATGTGATCTGTTGTCGTATTTTTTGAAAACGATCTGATGGATCAAATCTGGTGGCATTTTTGGATTCAGCAGACCCAAATTACCTAGAAACAGTAAAAAAAATCCGGCAGCAAACTGTGTGTTTACCAGTGTCATCAAGGGAAATATTTCGATAAACAATTAAGTCATTTCCGTAAAAAAAAATAGTACCCTTCATATACCTACTATAAATTGTTGACGTTCGAGTAAAATGTATTTGTTATGAAATCTTTCATATACTCACATGTTTTTTATATGAAATCTTTCTTTCAATGATTTGGTCATCGAAAATATGTTTCCTCGAGAATAAAATTTTTCAGGATACCTAACCACGTCACAGAAAAATTTCGACCGTTTTTGTACCGAAGACATTATGACCCTGTTCTCGAAGACAATAACGTTATCTTTGCAGATGATTTTGTCAATATTTGATTGATCGGTGATATCCAAACAGTTCTTGTTATTCACAATGCCATTCCACTCGGGTTTCAGAATATTGCTATTCTGGTCCTGGAAGAGAGAAAATTTCTATTCAGTTATATTATCCTAAGACTCACTTTCATTGGTTAACGTTTGAGATGGATGCAATTTGATGTGATTTCGGACCAATATAGAGGTGGACTTTTACTGAAAATTATGATAGCGAATAGGAGATAAATTTGAATTATTATTTTAGCACTACCAATGCATTTCATCAGTTCGGACTTCCATTGTCTAATATAATATAAAAGATTAACCAAAAATATCAATTTTATTAAACAAAAAACTGAAATTACAAAGAAATAACATACAACAACCAAACGAATAAAAATTGAAATAATAATAAAAGCTGAAATAATTGAAAAAATTGAAAATATCATTAACGAAAAATTAAAAACTAAAAATTGAAAGATTTCAAACCAAATTATGTCACAACGTTTCGATTATTAGTATCCACAATCGTCTTCGGGTGATAACTGGACTTATTCATCCGTGATCTGAGTATTTATAGGTCATTCGAGTGCTTTCACCTATCCCCTCTTCCCTCTTTACGCTTTATTGGTTTTGGCGGGAGTTGACCGTTTGACAGGAGTTGGTCGTTTTTCGTTTGATTAGAGGTTTCCATATGTTACGTATCTCTACGCTAGCTTGACTAAATGCGTTGTGGGACAACATATACGCGTAGACATATAGCGTAGAGATACGTAAAATATGGAAACCTCCAATCAAGCGAAAAACGACCAACTCCTGCCAAACGGTCATCTTCCGCCAAAACCAATGAAGCGGAAAGAGGGAAGAGGGTATAGGTGAAAGCACTCGAATGACCTATAAATAGTCAGATCTCGAAGGAGTTATCACCCGAAGAGGATTGTGGATACTAACAATCGAAACGTTCTGACATAACTTAAATTTTTATTTGTTTGGTTGTCGTTGTATGTTATTTCTTTGTAATTTCAGTTTTTTGTTTAACAAAATTGTTATTTTCGGTTAATCTTTTTGATTTTTTTCAGAGTTATCAAATCAATTTATTTTATATTACATTAGACAATGGAACTCTGA